TAGATGCATTATACAAAAAACAAGAATGATAAAGTTTGACTACATTGCATGATGTCCCTTGAGGAGGATAACAGATTAACAGGGTGGCTGAATTGCTTCATGTCCCGATGGATAAAAACTAAATCGAGGGGAAAACATCAAAGGGAAAAATAATCATCTGGCTGACTCATGATTAGGGGGTGAGGCCAGAAGGGGAAAAAAAAAGCCTTGTCTTAGGGTCTTATGCTCTCCATTTCCCCATTTTTATTAGCTCATAACTAAAAATAATGGTCATGATCCAGTCTCAACTCCATGACTGAGACCAAGAATTTGGGGTACAGGAATTCTTCTGGGTCACCTAAGTCATTAATCTCTGGAATCTCTTAAGCTTTCATAAGAAAGAGACACAGAAAACAGCTCATCAGCAAGAAAAAGAAAATTAATTCCTGACATGTGCTGACAGATCTTATTATTTGGGATGTCTTGTTTTCATAAAATGGCAATTAGGCTGTGTGTTTTAAAGGCTACTGGAAGAAATGAAGTCTGTAATTGAGATATTGTGAAGCCATAGAGGCACTGATATTCTAAAACCACTCTTGGATGACTGAGAAAGTTGAAACCAGGAGCAGATAGAGCATCTATGAAAATTAGTGTAGTCAGGTAAGTTAAGGTTATATAAGAAGAGATCAGAGAATGTCCTCTAGCGATGAGACAATGTTCCTAGTTCTAGTAAATCTCCACAGCACCTAGGACAGCTCTGGTATCCTAGCAGTGATGAAAAAGCATTGGATTCAGAAGTAGAAAACCTGGGTTCAAATCCCAGTTCTATTTCTTGTCTGTGAGGTTGGACAAGTCTTTCTAGGTCGCAATTTCTCCATCTTAAAAACTGTGTTGAGGAAGGGATTGGATTCCATGGCCATTAATTTTCTTCAGCTTTAAATCCTCAGGTCCTTTGATATGGGATTGACCTGCTTTAGACCAAGTGCAAAGGTTCACCTCTTCTACAGATAACCCATTGTAAACACCAGACCATTTGTTATTGTACATGTTGCTTCCTGAAGATAATATAAGTCTCTTGAGGTCAAGGACTATTTGGTTTTTGTCTTTGAATCTCCAGATTCAAAGACAAAATCTCCATTTTGTCTTTGAAGCTTAGCACAGAGCCTAGCATATACCCATAGCATTTGGGTGACTTACTCTTTTAGGCAAGGCTGGGGAGGGAATGGAGTGATCTGGAGAGCTCTGCCTAATGACATGGCATGATGGGAATTCATCTTGCCTCTTCTTTGGGACAAACTACAAACTCCCTTTTAGTAGTCCTGAGCGGGGAAACAGTTTGGGGTTAGATAGAGAACTTACCTTGGACTATCTCTTCTAAATAATCTACCTCTTTCCCACTGATCTGATGTGCCTTCCCTTCTTTAACTGGTAATGCTGTTACATGCTAAACCTGGCCGCTCCTGGGCCACGGCACTCCTGATGTTTTCAGAATGTAATTGTGCATCAGAATATTTGTTCCAAGGCATGAGCCATTTCCCAGACTAGCAGCATCTTACAGTTGAAAAGGCCATTCCATGGTCATCAGATCCAAACTCCCATCCTGCAGAGAAATCCCCTGAACTGCAAATGACCAGGCAGGCCTAATTATTTAAAAACACATCATCCAGGCCTTCAAGACCTCCAGACAATAGAAGGAAATTCAGAACCCTGACCTACCCTTCACAAGATACTTGTGTCCTTTGGACATATACTCCAAAGGGAAAAAATAAGCTAGTTCCTTTCCCATGGGACTCATGACCTTGGAAATTGTAAAACTTTTAACATTTTCAGCCAGCCTTGTAGAAAATGTATTTCATATCCAAACAGCACTCACAACCTACCCTTCCCAGCTATATTTAGGCTATCATGAAACTAATGAATTAATTTAATTATTACAGTTTGCCTAAGGACCTCTGGTTAGCTCCAGGCCATCTAGAGAAGTCTGCATACACAGTTGCATTAGGAAATCACATTACAAATGCATCACATTAGCAAAAAACATCTTTCTCTTGACCTTAAGGAAAAATGGAAGCCTCTGTATTAGAATTTTACAAGGGATAATTTTAAGGAAGTGAGAAGGAAGGGAATAAGTATTTTAGTAGAAATTTTTATGTGCCAGGCACTGTGCTAAGCACTATATACATACATTCATACATAATACATACATATATATATACCTACCTACATACATACATACACATATGTAAATATTTTATATAATATATGTATAGATGTGTGTCTGTGTGTATGTAAAATCTCATTTGATCCTCATAGCAGTCCTTGAGGCAGGTGCTGTTATTATCCCCATTTTATTGCTAAGGAAACTGAGGCAAACAGAGGTTAAGTGACTTGCCCAGGTCATATAGCAAATAAGACTCTGAAGCCATATTTGGATTCAGTCCTTCCTGACTCCAGGCCCAGGGCTTTATCCACTATGCTTGCTGGCTTGGCTTGGAGTCAGGAAGACTTGGGTTCAAGTCCTGCCCCTAACATATACTGACTACATGACTGACAAGTCACTAAGCTCTCAGGGACCTAAGCAACCCTGAATAATATAAGTTACTCAGATGGTGCCAACTTGCTTTTGGTAGAGGGAATTTGCTTACCAGGGGACTCCATACTCCAGTGAAATTAATCAATCAACAAGTATCACAAGTGAATTTCTAGCTGGGGTTTATCACTAATAGGATGGACATTAATGCCACCTACTTCCCACAGTGCAGTCTTGAAAATAAAATGAGGTGAGACTGTAGATCTGAAAGTCAGTCAACAAGCATTTATTAGGCACTTACTATGTACCAGGCAGTATGCTCAGCTTAGGGGATACAAAGAATGGTTAAAGGCCAATTTTATGTCCTCATGGAACTCACATTCTAAGTAAGGCGTGCAGATAACAATGTACATACAAGATATATATGGTGAAAATGGAGGGTCATCTTTGAGGGAAGGGAACAGGGGTGGGGAATGAGGTCAGAAAGGCCTCCTGCCTTAGGCAGCATTTGAGCTAAGTCTGGAAGGAAACCATGAGGTGAGGTAAGTAGGGAGAGGGTTCCAGGCACAGATGGGTGGGAGATCAGTTCAAAGGTGCAGGAGAAGGATGATTGAGTGTTCTGTGCTAGGAACAACAAATAGGCCAATGTAGCTGGATCTTAGGGTACCTGGAAAGGGGTAAAGTGTAAGAAGACTGGAAAGAGGGGCAGCTAGGTTGTACAGTGGATAGAACACCGGCCCTGGAGTCAGGAGAACTTGAGTTCAAATCTTGCCTCAGACACTTGACACTTACTAGCTGTATGACTCTGAGCAAGTCACTTAACCCCAATTGCCTCACAAAAACAAACAAACAAAAAAAGAACATCTTTCCAAGAAGCCTGGAAAGGCAGGAAGGGGCCACATTATAAAAGGACTGAGATGCCAAAGGATTTGATATATGATCCTGGACATACTAGGGAACCACTGCAGTTTATTGAGTAGGGAGTGGTAGGTATAAAATAGTCAGTTTTGTGCTTTAGGAAGATCAGTTTGGCAGCTGAGTGAAGGATGGGTTGAAGTATGGAGACAGACTTGATGCCAACAGACCAAGTAGAAGACTATTGTAATAGTCCTGGGGACAGGAGATGAGGATGTGCACAAGGGTGGTGGCTGTATGAGTCGAGAGAAGGGGATATATATACACATATATATATACACACACACATATATGTGTATGTATGTATGTATATGTGTATATATGTATATATGTATGTATGTGTATATACACACACACACACACACACACACACACACACACACACACACACACACATATATATATATATATATATATATATATATATATATATATATATACGAGAGATACTGGAAAGGTGTAAACAACAAGATTTGCCAAATGATTCAATATGTGGGGTGAAGGAGAACTAAGGGTGACTCTAAGGTTGTGAACCTGCCTATAATAAAGCAGCCAGAACAATGCCTTGTGTGTGGACAGCGGTCAGTAAGTGTGGGATGGATGGAATTGTTTTCCTCCCATCTACATCCTGGTCCCACTTCAAGTTACAGTTCAAGACCTATGACTTCTGAGAAGTCTTCCATAATTACTCTAGTCCGTACAGCTCTTTCCCTTCTCCAGCACAGCATAGCAAATCACAGAACTTCAAGGCACAAGACCTCAGAAAACAGCTAGTCTACAGAGTACCAGATCAACAGTCCCCTTTGCATAATTAGTGCGCCTGATCAAGAATCCCCTTTATATTATCCCCAACTAGTAAATGATCGGCCAGTCTTAACCAGGGAGTCTGAACAAGAAATGTCAAATGGGGCTGTCAAAACTCCTCAGTGTGGCAGAACCAGATTAAAATGTAACTGGGAAATGTTTCACAAAATAAATAACAACACAATGCAACATAGATAATGTTAATTTGTGATTTTCTAAGAAAATATGTGACCCACAGGAATCCCTTTCTATTTGAAAGTGACACCACCGATCAGAACCATGCTATTTAGTCCTTACAGATATGCTGTCTAGTACTCCTTGCTTCATTCTTCTAAGCCTCATTTCCCCAACGGTACCATGTATTTATAATTTATCAAGGACAGAAAACGTGTCCTTCTAGGTTTTTTGACTGTTTTTCTCTCAATAATTTCATTGTAGCAGGGAAATGAAGGTGAGAAAACTCCCTCTACCCGTGAAGATAATCAGCCTCAGTAACATAGTAATAGAGGGTTGCTTGGGGCACCAGGAGGATATGTGACCCATTCAGGGTCATAGAGACATTATGTGTCAGTGGTGTGGTATGAACCCAAGTTTCCTTGACTGGCACTCACTCTTCTATATTCTATCTCCTCTGGCATGTTTTTAACCCTTCCCTTCTATCCCCCACAATGCCCAGCAAAAGCCCATGATAAATTTTTGCTGGTTTGCTTTTCAGGATGGTGACTGAATTGACTCATCCACTCACTTGTCCCTTTTTGTGTTTTGCTTTCAGATCTGTGAGCACTGTAAACAGGCTGCCCCCTCAGACTGCCCCGTGGTGTACGCAGACAGGGCTGGCTATGATAGGCAGTGGCATCCCGCCTGCTTTGTGTGTGCCAAGTGCTCTGAACCTCTGGTTGACCTGATCTACTTCTGGAAAAATGGTGCTCCCCTTTGTGGGCGCCATTACTGCGAGAGTGTGCGGCCCCGTTGCAAGGGCTGTGATGAGGTAAGGATGTTATTTCTTGCAAAGACAGTCCTTCCCTGTGGAGCCCATACGTATGTAGGGAATTATCAAGTTACATAGGGACATAAAATGGACATCAAGGGCCATCTATGCCACAGAGAAGGAAACCCACAGAGGTGAAATGACTTGCCCAACATGATGTTAGTAGAATGCATCTGAAGCCAAGTCCTCTGATTACAGACTCAGGTATTCTTCCCATGGTATCAGCTTCACTTTCCCTTATGAAGTCTTATCTCCCAGAGATCTAGGTTTCTGGAACGTCCATCAAATGATTCCCCTCTCCATAGCTGAAGGTTATGTCACTGCCTCTCCATGTCTGTGACTAGGAATGCCTGTTTCTGCCTCTCATTGTCACCTTTTAATTCAATCCAGTTCAATTCAATTCAATAAGTATTTATTAGGTGCTTACTATATTCCAGGCACTATGCTGGCTATACAGAGACAAAAGCCTAATAGCCCCTGCCCTCAAGGAGCTTACATTCTACTAGGACCACCTGGGTGAGAGCACACGCCACTGCATTGTACCTCTGCCCCAAAGTCACCATTAGTAGTTGGGAGGAAAGGATACAAAGTGATTATAGGGCATATCAATGCATGGCCCCAAGTTCTTGGCCTTTGCTATGGAGAAGCAATAGTGTCTCTCAGTCCAAGAGATGGTAGCTATGGGGAAATGAACCACATGGTCAAGTAGTGGGAGTTTTTATACCCCAACTTTCCGGGAGAAATTATATCACTCCCAGAAGCAAGCATGTCTCTAGTCATATGGAAAGATTGCTAAAGTAGAAAATAACAGTATAACCTATTAATTACAACTATAAAGAGCTTTATACCCATCCAAATGTGGTCCCATCAGTCATCTCATTCAGTCCTCACAACAAGTCTATAGTTTAGAATGGGCAGCATCATAAACCCCATTTGACAGACTAGCAAACAGAGGCCCAGAGAGTTTTAAAGATTCAGCCAAATTTAACATCAATGTCAAGCATTTTGACTCCTAGTCAAGTATCCTTTCCTCTATTTCATGAGATCTCAATAAAACATGACCCCTTTTGACCTGCTGTTTTTTTCCTATTCCCTGTGGCTTTATTGTCCATACCAAAATGAAACATCCAAGATTTCTAGTGCTGAGGTCATTTCCAAGGCCATGTAAGTATTCAGGAACATAGTGATGGGAGTTGAAATGGTCTACCCACATGATTCTGTCCTACATCAACTCCCTTGCCTCCACTAGCCTCAAAGCAGAGGTTAAGATGATCACTGTCTCGGGGGACCCAAATATTTCTTAATCAGTAACTAAGCCCTAGAAGGTCACTCACCCCACCAACTCACTGCAGTTGGGTTTACTTCACTCGGTGAAAATGCCTTGGAGTAAGAGGAGGGGTTAATCCATCAGATTCAGGGGAACATAAGGACTGAGAGCTGGCCTTTGGTTTCAGTCCAAAGAATATCACAGGATTATTATGAAGCAAAAAGTTGACTGCAAGTAACCGCAGTCCTGAACTGAAGAATCTTTCTCGTCTGTATCCAGGAATTCTGCATTACACATACAACAAATACCATGCGCATACATAGAGAATGGATACAGAATTTCTCTCCTGAGTCTCTTATGGGTCAATTTAAAAATAGTTTTTTGTTTGTTTTTTAAATGGTCTGAGAGTCTGGGGTCTTGAGCTTATGACATGGCCAGATTATTGCCTTTTATAAATCAGGGTGAGCTCCTTTTTTTCCCTGCCTAAGGTTTGAAATGAGTCTTACGGTTTATTTTTTCTGTTCTGCCAGATTATATTCTCCGAGGACTACCAGCGAGTGGAAGATCTGGCCTGGCACCGAAAGCATTTCGTCTGCGAGGGCTGCGAGCAGCCACTGACTGGCCGAGCTTACATCGTGACTAAGGGTCAGCTCTTGTGCCCCACCTGTAGCAAAACCCAACGTTCTTAAGGGTTGTCCCCTTGGAGCCTGAGTGGAGGGAGATAGCCAGAGTCCCTGCCATCTCACCCTGAGGCAGAAGAGAAGGGTCGTGCTGGAGCAAACAACTTTAAGGCATATTTCTCAGTGGGATATTTTTTTAAAGGAAAGATGCTTGTGGGTAGATAGTTTCAAAACCAAAAAAATGTTCTGTATAAACATGGGGAGGAAGGCTGTTTTCAGATGAAAGGAAGCGTGTTGCATGGCACCACTGGTGTTTTATAGAAGGAGTTTCCCAGAATGCCAGTCTGAGAGGTCTGATCATATAGGAATAGAATATGAGTGCTTTTTCATGAACACAGGAGCTCCTGAAACATCGAGGAGTTCAAGGTGGGTGGGGGGATATTGGATTCCAATGATTTTTTTCAGCCTCCTTTTCAAATAAAATTCAAATTTCAAAGTGCATTTTTTTTGCATGATAAGTTCGTTCTCAATAAAAGTTCTATTAAGTCAAAATCTTTCTCCTTATTTGATTATTCAGATAGTCCATTGCTTAAAAGATTCTGATTAATGATCATTGCAAACAGTAACAGCAATATTGTTTTAAGAATAACTTTGAGCAACTAAGTCATTTTGACCATTATAAATACTCAAATTGACTATAAAGGACTCTGGTTGTTTTTTGTTGTTGGTTTTTTGTTTTGTTTTTTTTGTGAGGCAATTGGGGTTAAGTGACTTGCTCAGGATCACATAGCTAGTAGGTATCAAGTGTCTGGTCTGAGGCTGGATTTGAACTTGGGTTCTCCTGACTCCAGGCCCAGTGTTCTATTCACTGGGCCATCTTAACTGTCCCTACATGTGAAGGAAGAAGCTATCTGTATCCAGAGAAAGAACTGATAAATAGAAGTATACATAGAATGATTTTGCATATATACATATATATATATATACACATACATATATACCTATATACATATATGTATATGTGTGTGTATATATACTCACACACACATACATATTGTGTCTAATGGTAACCATCTGGGGAAGGGGGAGGAAAAAAGAAGAAAAAAGAAAGTTACATGATAACTTTATTGTATATTTGAAAGGAATAGCAAATTGTACATAAGAGATTCGCTGTTTTGTGTGCAATCATCTTTTTTATTCTGTTGTTATGGAGATGCTTGTTTTATTTCATAAATTAAAAATAAATTAAATTAAATTTCTTTAAAAGGAAACCAAAAAATCTTCTACATCATTAAGGAAGCCTATGTAGGCAGATTGCACAATCTACAGATATATATGGCAAAAAGTTAATCCTTTTGCCTACAATGGTAAAACCTTGCTTAATCTGAGGGCCCGTAGACCCTAAATTGTTTAGGCAGCTAAAACACAACCTCTCTATCCCTCTCTTTCCTCAACATTTCTAGTGACCATGAGTCATCATAAGATCATACATTTATGATCCTAAGATCAAACATTTAGAGACAATGTCACACATTTAGAGATCATAAAACATTTAGAGATGAAAGGAAGATTACAGGCCATCTAATCCAACCTTCCTTCATTTTACATTTGAGGAAACTAAGGACTAGGAAAATTAAGAGTCTTGCCTAAGGTTCACATAATGAAAGGCATGTTAGGATTTGAAACCACTGGCCAAACTCAATGCTCTTTCCACCTCGCCATACCACATCCTCGTTGGTACTCAGTGGGTGAGAATCATTAGGACCCAAATTTGATCAATAACATAAAAATAAAATTCTTAGACCTAAACACCAAGGGATGCATATTACAGTATATACAACCCTCTTCAAGGTCCTCCCTGAAGGTACAAGCTTTACCATTTTCACTGTTCTTAAGAGGCCATATTGGACAAATCTACTGGTGTTGGAAAGAGGAGATAAACATTATGTTTGCAGGATCATTGATTTCAACCTGGAAGGGAGGTTAAGGGTCATCTAATCCAGTTCATTTCTACAGCTGTATTCTAGGAAGCCCAGAGATTTTTAATAACTTGTCCAAAGACATGAAGATATTAAGTGGAGGAGCCAGACTTTGAATTCAGTTTCTCTAACTCCAAAGCCAGCATCTTTCACACTACTATTGCTCAGATAAAGTTCCCATGTTATCCTCTCCCCTGGGCTATGAATTTTCTAGTCTTCAAATCATAAAAGCTATTGTAAATACCTCAGAGTCAGTTTCTGATGATACTTGGAAATAGAAGAACAGATAGAAAAGATTAATCTGCAGAAAGAAATTAAGCATTACTTCCTACTTGCCCCTCCTTCATTCTCATACCAAACCTTTTACCAGAGCTGTGTAGGACCACAGAATGATGGCACTGGAAAACACCATAGAAATAATCTAACTCAGGGGTTCTAAATCTTTTTTATGCCATTGACCTTTGGCAATCTGGTCCATCTTCTAAAAATAATGTTTGTAAATGCATAAAATAAAATATATAAGACTACAGATGAAACAAACTACATTGAAATATAATTATCAAAAGAATTTTTTTAAGTTTATGGATTCTGGAGTAAGAATCTTTGATGACCTGGCCACTTCACTTTACAGAGGAGGAGCTGATATCCAGAGAAGTTATAACCTGTCCAAGCTCTCACAAATAATTAGTGTCACGAAAAAGATTAAAAATCTAGTTTGCTTAATTATCAGTTCAATGCTTTTTTACTGCACACATTAAGGAACAATAAAAACCAACAGGTCTACATTTTACAAGCTTTGACTCTAACCATCTCACTGTTTTTTTTTTTTTGGTCATGTCTGAGACCATATATAATGTGCAATAATGTTTTAATAAGGTGGCTCTGTCACTTTCTCTCGGGAAATTATTATCTGGCTAATGCCAAATTCCACATTGTCACGTACTAACAAGGATGTTGTGTTCTCCCTCTGGGAAGTGATAATGAGAGTGAAATGGAAAACACCATAGAAATAATGCAGGAGGAGAGAAGGAGATGAACCCAAGGATCCAGATATCTCACATCTGCATTGTCATCTCCTAAACCATCAAAATTCAGCTGCATTGGAATTACAAATATGAGTTCAAGAGACTTTACTTTATTTAATCCTAACCCTAAGAAGTCAGGAAATGGGGACATAGGTCTATCAGAAATGATTTTCAGAAGCTTCCCTTCTCTATTTTCTTCTCTTTCCCACTGCAGTCAAGTTGTCAAGTATTTCCAGTCACTTCCACCTAAACGCTAGGCTAGCCATGTTTCATGGCTGTTCATTCATTCTTTCATCCATTGTAAATGAAAGAGAGAGAGAGAGAGAGAGAGAGAGAGAGAGAGAGAGGCAGAGACAAAGAAAGAGAAGAGACAGAAAGACAAACAGAAACAGAGATAGAGAGAGAGAGAGAAAATATCATCATTGTTATTATTAGTTCCTGCCCTAAGAATAAATATATAAACGCTGCCTAGATGAAACAACATTTGCTTCCATTATCACAGTCCTTGCTAAAAAGATGTCCTGTACCCATCATCCAGGAACTATGTCTGGGTTTAATCCTAATTCCCATTTCCTAGATTCCTTGCCTTGAATACCTGACTGTTGGGCAGACCCTCTTTCTCCCTGGATGCTACATCTATTGCCTGTTTTGAGTTCCGCTACCTGCCTCACCATGAATCAATCCCCAGATTGTAGACCTAATATTGCCTTTGATCTTTTTTTGTTGGTCTGTTTGCTGACTTCACCTTGCCTGCCTGGTTCTGACCCATGGCCTTGCTCTGACCTTCACAATCTAGGTGTGCTCTTACACCAGCCTCCCTTCTATCCCTGACTGTACCTTGATCACCACTCTCAGGGCTTTCGCCTCTGTCTTGTTGTCATAATAATAACTAACATTTATGTTATGCTTCAAGTTTCCTAAAGTGCTTCTCAAATATTAGCTTATTTGATCTTCACAACAAGTTTGTGAATTATATGCTATTATTATCATCTCCTTTTACACACAAAGAAGCTGAGGCCAACAGGTGTTAAGTAACTTGCCCAGGGTTACATAGCTGATGAGTGTCTGAGAGTAGATTTGAACTCAGATCATCCTGACTCCAGTCTGCCATTCTACCTGCTTCAGTCCACTACTCACTATATATTCGTGGCCCTAACACTCCTGAGCAGGGTGTCTTTTACAACCTGTCTTAGAGGTTTGGGAATTCTTGGCTATTCTCAATAGACTTCTTTGCCATATTTCCATCAAAAAACAGAAAGAAGTCCCATGAAAATGAGTGTATCATATGGGTTGTATTTGCTAAACTGTTTTTTTTTCTATTTTTGCCCAGGATTTATCTAGACACAATGTTGATATGGAATTAACATATATCAATAAAATTTTTAAGAGTGAAGAGATGACAGGGACATTTCTACATTTGGTAAGAGGCTAGAATAAGTGATCTTGAAGTCAGTCACTCAGTCACCAAGCATTTATTAAGCACTTACTATGTGCCATGCATTACACTAAGCATTGATATTATAAAAAAAGGCAAAATAAGATAGCAATGAAGTTTGCCACATTGATTGACTCTTCCTTTTACTTGAACACTTAGAGGCCATTGTAGGGTTATTAATTGCCCTAATTTCAATATTATTGTGTCTCAGGGAATACAGATGCCCAAGGAGAGAGAAAGAAACAGAACAGAAGGTCGGTGGAACAGTTAGAACACACACAACATTTATAGATTGTTTGCCATCTTATATGGAAATCAAAGATCACTGATCACAAGTCACCATAACAGATATAATAATAAGGAAAAAGTCTGAACTGTTGCAAGAGTTACCAAAATATGAGAGAGATGTGGTGTGAGCTCATGCTGTTGAAAAGTGGTGCTGTTAGACTTGTTTGACACAGAGTTGACAAAAACCTTTAATTTGTAAAAAAAAAAAAAAGCCTTATCTGTGAAGCACAATAAAACAACATATGCCAACAGTTTAAGAGAAGTTTGTCAAGGTTGAAAGTCAGCCACAAATTCTCTGTCAATTCACGTTAAGGCCAGTCATAGGATTTTGGAAAATTCAAGGGATGTGTTTCATTTTTGGAGAAAGAAAATGTGAGGAAAGTATATAAAATGAAAGAGAAGAGAAATTTGAACTGCCCAGGCACTGAATGGGACAATATTTCATGATTTAGACATGGATGTCAATTACTTATAAGAATGTCCCGATACGTAGCAATGTCTATCCTTTTGCAGTTAAAAAAATCCACAAATAGATGAAATGAGTAGTTTCTGCTCCTTAACACTCCTGACCTAAATTGTAGGAAGTATTTACTTTGTTCAAATCAACAAATATTGATTAAGGAGTGCTAGATTCTAGAAATAGAAAGATAAAAATAAACATTCCTTGCCCTCAGGGAGTTTTTGTATTGGTAGAATTCCCAGAATCAAATACTTCAGTACTTCAATAGATTCATGATCTCTTCGTAGTAGATATTATCTTCAACTGTGTTGTTCACAATTTATCTACAGGTATATAGATCAATCTGCATAACTCTTGCCCAATTC